GTGATGTCCTCAAGTTTGTCACCTACCTTTAGTTCCCCTTTTTTATCACACACATCGCTTAGGAATTAGACTAACACTTGTGATTATTTAGAGGAACATTTGATGGAATTTTCAACATAGTGGCATCTCTAACAGTAGCAGGCTGGGATACCTGGTACTTTTCATTGACATTGCTGGGATCTCCAGGTCACTTTAATTCGTGGTCAAGTTTAATAAGACACTGAATTATTGATTTATATTGGTGGGGGGCTCTGTACATAGATAATTAATCAAAGTTGTTAATTTTATGATTTAAAGATCACACAAAAATAGAAAGCCATGCATCATTAAAGTATGGAAACGTGCATATACTTCTTTAAATATCTGTTACTGCTGACTTTTGGTTTTATCTGCTTGTTCTGTAGCTTGGGGTTTCACTCCCCAGTGTGAGTGTGGATTTGCTAATGAGTGAGTTATAATTTCTCTTTATGTATTTTGTGATTGTATACTTAGATATTCCTGAGTTTGATATGACTTTGTTTTCCTGGAAGACTGTTTACTTGGCAACTACATGAGAACATTCTCTTTTCCATGAGTGATTTTGCCCTTATGTTGTTCTATTTGATTCTTTCAGTCACTCTGCCCTCAGGACCACCTCGATCCCTCTATTTTCAACCTCTACAACTGTGCATAAATGTGCACATGACTAGCTCATGTTACCTCTAAACACCCGGGCAATTTTAATCTGATAGTTCAGTCTCTGACTTCTCATAGGAGAATTTAGTTCATTTACATTTATTGCCATGACTAATCTATTTGAACTTATTTGGGTTCTCTCATTTTCTGCTTAATTTTGCTAGTTTTTGGTTCCTGTCTTTGCCCTTACTTCATGCCATTTCTGTTTTTCAATAAACTGATACTCTATCTTTTGTTTTACTACTAGAAACTATTAACTATATTCCTATTTTTAGTGGCTAGTCATGAGAACTCAGTTATAATTTTTCTAATGTACTTTAGTTTTTTAAAATCTATCAATGGTGTTTGCTCCACATAACTGAAAGATGTAAGACTTTGAGAAAGTGAAGTGACTCGTTCAGGGTTGGCATAAGTGGATTTGAAGTGAACTCAGCCTGTGCTATTTTGAAATCTGCAGTTTTTATATCTAGTAACATACTGTTGCTTAAAATTTCTAGTACCCTTAGTTTGGCATGGTGGCACACACCTGTTATTCCAGCACTTGGACAGTGGAGGCAAGAGGATCAAGAGTTCAAGGCTAACTTGGCTATTTGGAGACCATTTTTTAAAGCAAAAAGTTCTACGTACCATTAACTAGAGACAAATGCTTGTGGGCCATCTTTGTAGACTGTGCTCTAAGGCAGGCCCTCTCTATAATCCTTTTGCTGTGCAACCATACACAATATATTTTTCTCTAAGCCACAGTTTCCCTACCCATAGTTTCCATAGCTGTGTCTCTGAATCATGTTGACTAGTGCTCAGGAGTTTGCTTTCACAACTGCCCCCAACAACTGGCCTTTATGATAACAGGGAAACAACCCGAGTTGGATGCAGTTTCCAGAACAGCGTGAGTCATACAGATTCCTCGCTTAATCATTAGCCTCATTTATCCAAATTTGAATCACTGAGCTCTCAGAGTGCTACTTAGTTCGCATTAACATAAGGAAGTTCTCTCTGCTCCCTCCTTCCTGTAACCCTTAAGATGGAAAGGACAGCTTGAGCTGAGGCTTTATTGTGGATTCTGTTTACACAGCTTCCTGGAAAAAGGCTGGCAATGCCATGTTTCAAGGGACCTCAGTGGCAACCACGCTCGTAGCCATTCCAACCACATGGCCAGTGCCGTTAGCAGAGGAGGCACTGATGCCGACTCGTTTCTTAGGAAAGCTAAGTGTTAACTAGAGGGAGAGCAGACAGAAGAATGAGACAAGTACAGAACCCGTGCTCATCACGGTAAAAATATGACTGTGGAGCAGGGGAGCGTGGGCTTCAGGAAACCGTCCCGTTAGCCACAGTGGAGCAGTGCTGAGAGAAACACATGCTGGGCTGAGGTCCTCGGGTTCTGCATTCCCACTCGGTGGCACAGTGGCCCAGGCAGATCTCGTGTCTGCTGAATGCCTCCATGTCCCTGTGTTCTGAGAGGCCCAGGCCATCTCTAACTGTGTGACCTGCCCATACCTGAGGTTTGTATGCCATTATATCAATCATACAGCAGTCCACATGCCAGACCACAGATCCTCTCTCTTGGCTCCTGAAGGGCCTTCTGTCTGGGGCACTTTCCTTGCATTGCTAGCTAGGAGCAGCTGTTCCAACTTCCGGTGCCTAGCTCCTCTGTGTCTCAGAGCAACTTCTTGTAAAAATTAAAGAGCTGGAGAAATGGTTCCATGGTTAAGAGCAATGACTGCCCTTGCAGAGAACCTTGGTTCAATTCCTAGTATCAACATTTTAATCCACAACTGTCTGTAACTCCAGTTACAGAGGATTTGAAGCCTTCTTATGGACTCCACAGACACCAGGTACATACACAGTGCATAAACATAGGTGCAGGCAAAACATTTATACAATGAAATATGATAATGATTGTGATGATGATGGTCATGATGATGATGGTGATGATGGTGATGGTGATGGTGGTGGTGATGGTGATGATGGTGGTGGTGATGATGATGATGATGGTGATGATGATGGTGATGATGATGGTGATGATGATGGTGGTGATGATTACGGTGGATGATGATTATGGTGGATGATGATGGTGATGGTGGTAGTGATGGTGATGATGATGGTGGTGATAGTGATGATGGTGATGGTGATGATGGTGGTGATAGTGATGATGGTGATATTGATGATGACAGTGGCAGCAGCAAACACACCTCCCTGGTGATCTAACCTGCTAAAGTTGCCCTTTTCTTGACACAGCAGCTGGGTTCACACCCCAACTCTGTGTCTTCCCCAGCAAACCACCCTTATCATCATCGGACTCCTCCCCATGCATTTAGACTATGTGCTCATCCCGGGGATTACATGGAGTCCAGCCCACAAAGCACTGAGAATCCTTCCTGCTGCTTAGAACCCGTCCCATACACACGAGCTGGTGTTACATTCTTAAAGGCAATAACAATAACGATGTGTATTTTAAGGGATTGCTGCAGGAGTTAAGTGCGACCACACATGACAGAGTGTGACACAGGGTGCCCAGCATGCAGCACAGCTGAGCTGAGCTCCTGAGCTCCATCCCTCTGGCTGTGTATTTATACCCTAGACCAGCATTTTAAATTTACCACAGTAATCCATCTGAGGGAGGAGGCTGTATTTCAAGAACCAACTCATCTTTCAAAGAATTCCACGCTGGCCGTGGAGAAATCGTGACATGAAATCTGCAGTGCACGCACAGGTCACCGAGCAGTAGCTCTAATCCCACGCCTGTAAAGTACTCGACACGCAGAGGCTCAGCCGCTCATCATCACACCTGATCCCCTTCTTATCTCAACCCAGAGAACAGGATTTCTCAAACCCTCTTAGAGACCTTGATTCTGATGGGTGGCAGACTTCGCCGGGGTTCCTGCCACCAGAAAATGCTGTACTGGGGTTTAGAGCCTAAGCCACCTCAGTCTTAATCTATATTCCTTTTGGAATATTCTTGGGCATCGTTAGCAGAGAGGAGGCGTCTGGCAGGCAGGCAGGCAGGCAGAGATCCCCAACATGCAAACAGAAGTCCCTATGACAGTGGTCCTCAACCTTCCTCATGCTGTGACCCTTTAATACAGCTCCTCATGTTGTGGTGACCCCCAACCATAAAATTATTTTCGTTGCTACTCCATAACTGTAATTTTGCTACTGTTATGAACCATAATGTAAATATCTGTGTTTTCCGGTGATCTTAGGTGACCCCTGTAAAAGTGTCCTTTGACTCCCAAAGGGTTCATGACCCACAGACTGAGAGCCACTGCCTCATGAGAAGACACCCATTTTATTCCCCTCAGTACCCACCTATTGGCTGGCCCCATGTTCTTTGCTTTGTCCCTGGATGTTCCTGGGACAAATAGGCTCCTGGTGTCTTTAAGGGACACTTACCAAGTTCCCCGGGGTCCCAGTGTGATTCTGTCTATCCTGTGCGTGGGCTGCACACATCTCATTGGCCTCTGGGAGTCAAGACATCTAAGTCACAGCCCTGATCCTCATGACAGGGTATGGCACCTTTGTGACCTTCGTCTGTTCCCCAGCAGATTTAGAGTTCTGGGGGAAGGAATCTGTGCACTACTGGGTAAAGGTCCATCCACAGAAAATGGCTCCTGTGCCTGCCTTTAAACTGGCGAAAGCAACCTGCTTTGTATAGCAAAAGCTTCATTTAGGTATTTGGAAGGAACACAGCTGCTCTTTGCTGAGAATCATGATGGATGCCATAGCAACCGGCAGTGTAACTGGGGGTGAAGTAGAGAGGGTCTCTGTGTGGATCCCACAGAGATCCTTTATAACATACCACCCCCCCCCACACACACACACACACTCACCAAATCACACGTGTCAGCGAGCCCTCCAGGAGGTCCCTCACGCCTACTGCAGTCACTGCCCACCTGGGCTGCCCTAACTTCTCTAAAGCATCTAGAAGCTCTTAGCTTGATACAGAGGACAGAATGGAAGGAGTTGGACCTTCCAGATTAGGGTGATATCTGTGAAGTCTTGTACATGGTCCTGTGGCAACCCTGGGGCTGAGCAAGAGTGAGCAGGTATCTAGTTTCATATCATCCTGGTGGTTGGTATTGTCCCATTTGGCATATGAGAGTGGAAAATAGTCCTTCTGTTGTCTTGTCTTGTGGTTTCGAGATAGCATCTCACACTATAGCCCAGGCTGGCCTCCAGTTCATAGCAGACCCCCATCTCAGCCTCTCTAGTGCTGCATTTAAAGGTATGCCATGTGAGAGGCAAGATTGAGCCCATGGAGCTTAGTTCTAAGAACCTTGGTCCTGGCCACTGCTTTCCATCTAAACTAACCATCCTTTGGCTTTCAGATTGGCCATCGTGACTTTGATGTAGAAAAGCGTCTCCGCCGGGACCTCAGGAGGACACATGCTCTGTTGTCTGATGTTCAGCTCCTTCTGGCCACCATGGAGGATGGCAAGGCATCAGTCAGCAAGGAAGAGCTGGAGAAGGTGCAAAGTCAGGTGAGCAATGCCCTCATCAGGAGAGGGAGCTCTTCTGGGAAACACGGTCAGAGTCTCCCACCAATAGGGAGGTGGAGATATGGGCCAGGAAACTACAGGGCAGTAGCGAGTGAGGGGCAGGACCTGCTCCCTTCTGTTGGGTAGAGTCAGTTGTGTCTGTTTGGAGGGCATGAGCAGATTAGGACTGGGATAACTGGCTGAAGGTAGTGTATGTGAGTGTATGGACGCTTTTAGTGGCTACCAGGGCTGGGTATAGGAGACACAGCTGCAGGGTTAAATATTGCAATGTCACCTCCTCGTGGAACTGAGAACAGCTGTAGCCATTTGGCTGTCTAGGTGTATGCTAATGATGCAGGTCAGGGTTTCATGAGGGTCAGCTGCCACTGACCAGAATCCTCTCCCTGCCCACGCCCCACCACCACCACCACGTACTGGATGGTCCGTGCATTTTGTCACCTGCCATCTCTGTACAGCTTAGTACCATCCTGTTAGTCAACGAGCAGAGGCTTGCTTGTGGATTTCAATGGTTCAGTCTGTGATCACTGGACCCCATCCTGTGCTGAGATAGAACACCTTGGGAGAGAGGGCATGGGAGAGCAGAGATGCTTATCTCATGGCCAAGAAGGAGTGAGGGAGGGAGGGAGGGAAGGAGGGGGGGCACTAAACAAAGTTCCGTCAACCCAGGAGACAGAGTGCCACCATCTCACACTCTGTGACCTTTTCTCTTCCCTTAGTGGGTCATTCTCATCCTGTTCCACCATTCTGGCTTGCTCCAGATCTTCTTTGTCTGGCACTAAAATTCTTGTGTCCTGGGCAAGGTAGGGCACTCGCTAACTCTGTGTCCCCTTTGTGATGATTGCAGCAGCCAGATGCACTTAGTCATCATGAGAGTGCAGGGGAGCAGAGGGCACCTCATGGCTGGTTATAGATGGCACATTTTGCCCAGTGGTGGTGACATGTGGTTAAGTGACATGGCAGTAAGTGACAGAGCTGGGACCTGAAGCTTTGACTCTGAGTTCAGAATCAGGGTCTCTCTGTGTCACATTGCAACCTGTTAGGAGGAGAGTGGGGAGACATGGACATCTTGACTCAGCTGGGGCCTGAGCACCTCACAGAGTGACGACCTCACATCCCTCCCTTGTTCCTGCTTCACAGCCTCCAAGTTACCCCTGCCCTCAAGTGGGTGTTCTGTCAGAGCAGATTTCTCTCCTCCCCGTTTCCCTCCTTTAAAAGTGTCCCCTGCAATCCCTCTGCAGGGTTAAGATGTGTGTTCCCAGGAAGCAGCAGTGTTTAATGAGGGCAGCTTGGGCACAATCAAAGAGCCTCACTCTTCTGAAATTCCTCTTTCCTGCTCTCCGTATCCGGCTCCCATCAAAGGGATTCACAGCCTCGACTCTGCCGCTGTTGTCATGGAAATGACTGTTAAGACAGAGCTCCTGGACCAGAGGTCAGGGTACAGTCGCTTTGGCTCCTGGCACACGTGTCCGGATGCAGGAGTCGGAGCTAATTAGATAAAGCAGTGATGGCCCCTGCTATCACTTCAACTCTTGTCTGGTGTCTGGTGTTTGTCCTATGCCCGAAGGCCCTAGGGACAGAGACAGGGAAGGCAAAGCGGGAGGGAGAGCGAGCCAACTTTGCATGTAGCTGCTGTGTATAGCACTGAGAAGTTGCCTCCATTTGTCCACATGTTTGCTCATTGGGCATTTATGCAGCACCCACTGTATGCCTCATGATGGCAGAGGTATGGGAAGGATTGTCAGTAAGGCCGGTGTGGTACCCACCTTACGGAGTCCATACCTGATGGAAAAGACAAACAGTGGCACAGATGCCAGCAGTGGGGGACTTTGAGGGAGAGAGGAAGAGGCAAGGTCCTGGGTAGGGAAACACAGAGGTCTCCGCTATCTGGGGTCAATTCCTTATGCCTGGAGGAAGGAAGAAAGCAGGGAAGGCTTGGGTTTCATCCCAAGTGGGTAAGAAAGAAGTCCCTGGCAGCTTCCAGTGGAGCCCGCTTTCTGTTTGAATTGAAGGACCTGAAAGTGGGATTTGGTTGACCACAGCGTGTGTTATTCCAGAAGAGCTCTACTGCTGCCTAAGCAGTCAGAGATTCCTGCATTAGCCCATTGTGCTCAGGAGAAGCCAGACTCTGGGGGGCTGACTGGGCACTTTATCCAAAGGTACGTAACAAGACAGGCCTGGAGCTGTGGGTGCCAGCCATCCTGGGCTCTTGAACCTTAGCTCACCTGGTGCGGTCCTCTTAACCTATGTCCGGAGTCTGGTATGAACCAGGCTTGACTTCAGAGCCTTGAGCACGGCTGCACCGCAGCAAACTGAGCATTGTTCTAGAACACCACGTTTCTAGTTCTCTGTCCCTTCCTTCTCTTTTGTTGTCAGGTCTGGGTTAGAAAGAATCTGATTTCTGATGGTTGCTTGGTTTGATCTGGCTATGTAGCCCAGGTTGGCCTTGAACTCTCCACACTAGGCTTTCCAAGTATAGGAATTACTGTGTGAACAACCATGACCAGCTTCAGATCTGAATTTTAAACAACCACATCAGGGACCAGAAGCCTCTTACCTACAAAACTTCCTTCACCTTGGCAGTTCAACCATTTTGCTGACCATGGGGTGATGTTTATCTGGTCTACCTCAGTTCTGTTACTTTGAAAAGATCTAAATTTTGAGTCCAGAGCACTTTGTCTGGTCTTCCTAATTTCATGTCGGGAGGGGACACAGCCAGCTCTCCCTAAAGGAGAATGTGGTCATCACCTGTTGCTGCAAACACACTAATGGGGGCCTCAGACACGGGGGTGGACCCTGGGCAATTACAAGTTGCTCATGGAAGGGTGGACCCTGAGGGAGAAGGTTCTTTAATCTTGTAAGGGTCATGGACAGAGGTGTGCAATAGGTTCAACCCCTGCCTGGGTGACCCTGAGCCAGCCCTACCTTTCAGGGATACCTGCATCATATCTCATAGAAGGTACCATGCTCCCAAAGAACACCAGATCATAGGGTCTGTAGACTTGCCTTTGTAAGATCTCCAGAATTGGGGTTGGGGTTGGAGCTGGTAGAGTGCCTGCCCAGCGTGTGTGAAGACCTGGATAAGGCAGCTTCCATCCCGGGCCTTGGGGTATGAAAGCAGGGGCATCAGAAGTTCAATGTCATCCTTAGCTACATAGCAAGTTTGAGGCCAGTCTGGGCTACACAGGACCTTGTATCATAAGAACACCCCCTAAAATCAAACCTCTCTAGGACAAGAGATAGAAAGAATACCTTGGGCAGAAGTTTCCTCCTCCACTCACCTGTATGGGCTCTTCCTCAGAGTGAAGGGTGGGGGAGCATCTTTGGCTTCTGGGTACAGTGTTTTCATAACGAGCTAATCAATTCCCACAGGGTGTTTCCCCTGAAACTAACCTGGAAACAAGCCATTCCAACAACCAAGATGGATAATTGAGATACTCGTTGCACCAGTAACATCTGTGAGACCAGGGGTTGGCGGGAGGTGACACCGGCTCCAAGGAAAGAGTGGAAGCCGGTGGCGGCTCCTGGATGCTGATTAGCTCTCTGTTCATTTAGTCCTCGCTGGGTCTGTGGCTGTGATCTCCCTTCCCAGAGGAGGCACGTGATTGGTTTTGTTAACTGGGGGTGAGGGGTTGCACACAGCTCTGTTGCTTACTCTACTCACACTCAGGGTCCTGCTCTGTCCTGCCTGCTAAGACCAAAGCTCCCATCGTGGGTCTCTGGCACTGCTCTCAGTAGTGCTCCCAAACTGGTGTCCTGTGCTCTGACTGCCTTTGTTAAAAGCCACTTGAATGTCTCCTGCGGGGAAATCTCTCAGATTGCTGACTTTGTGTCTTGTCCAGAGAGATTTTATTTCACCTCATTGGGGTCCCTTATGCTGGAGATGAAAACCAGGGTGTTGACAGAGGATCTATAGTCCTGTAGTCCTGTAAGTCCTGTCTTGCCTGGTCCTGTAGTCATTCAGTCCCAAAGAATCACACAGATTGCATCAATTATAAACTGATTGGTCCAGTATCTCAGGCTCTTCTTATTAACTAATTCTTATATTAGTCCATAATTCGTGTCTATGTTGGCCATGTGGCTTGATACCTTTTTCGGTGAGGCAGTCACATCTTCCTTCCTCTGCAGCTGGGTCATGACTGGTGACTGTGCTTTCCTCTTCCCAGAATTCTCATTTCTCTGCCTCTGCTTCCTGCCTGGTCACCCCGCCTATACTTCCGGCCTGGCTACTGACCAATAGGCATTTTATTAAAAATAATACAAGTGACAGGATAAAAGACTATTGTCCCACAGCACTTCCCCCCTTTTATTTTTAAAATATGAACTCTAATCTAATATCCTTTTTTTAGCTTTTCTCCTGGCCATTATCTATAGCAATGTGTAGCCAACATTCTAAACAAAGGAAAATATCCATAGTCCATTTTAGGGGAATGTGGGTATAGTTTTCCAGGCTACTTCTTGCGATTGGGGGCATTGATAATCTCATGAAGACCTAAAGAAAATTGAGAATTTCTTAATTTTCTTAATTTAATTTAATTTTCTTGATTTCTTAATTTCAAATCCTGACTGGAGTATCCTGTGAGGCTTGATCATCTCAAGCAGCAGTCTTCGAACTGTTTGGATGTAGAACTCAGACATCTGGGCCATTCCTTCTATCAGAGATTTCTCGGGGCGGGGGTCTTACTTGGTCAAACCTGATTTTTCTTAATGCAGAATGAATTCAGTCCCTCATTTCCTGTGGAAACAAAAGCAAAACCTCTTCTCCAAAGTAACATATCTTCTGACTTAAAATTTAAAGTCAAAGTGTTTTCAATATATATATATATATATTGGATTAATCCAACAGCATTTATAATCAAATGTTTTTTAGCAGCTTTTTCCTCCTTCCTCAGGATTCAAAAAAATTCAAAGAGAACACAATAATATACAGTATCCAGATTCTCTGTGTGTTTTCCACCTTTACTTGGCTTTATTTTAAACACTAA